AACGAAGCGAACTTTAATAACTTTAAATAAGACTCATTTTCAAAGTGGAAATATAAGTACTAATTAACGAATAAATACTTGTAACAAATCAGAGTATTTTCAACACGTAAATAAAAGTACAAATGTGTACCCTATTTGTAAAACAAAGTATTATGCCACCAGTATGCAGCAGGAGTTGATCCCTGATTTATAACTGGTTTATAGACCGTCTGCGGATTATATATCGGTTTATAGAAAATAGGTTCATAAAATATATTATTTCTGGTATTATCGATTTCGCAAACCGTTCCTTTTTACTAATTCTTGTACTGGAGCCCAAAAGATCCTGAAATTAATATCATGGTAATCCAATTCGGATAAGAGGAAAACTGGCATCCTATCTGATAAAACCCAAGCAATTCCTCCTTTATCGATTTTTATGTCACTAGGAAAGACTAATCCGACATCGTCTTTGTCGACAAGGGCATGATTTTGCTTTTGGTATGGAGAAGATGAATGCCAGCATCCAATTCCATTACGATCTATGAGGTTGTAAAGCATGAGGCCGCTGTCGTCCATAACTTTGGCTGTAACATGACCTAAAGTTTCACGTTCTTCCAAAACCTGCAAAGAAATTAAAATCTAAATAGTATATTATCCAATTAGTAACAATATCTAACGTTTTTGGTTCTTATATTTTGAACTTAGAATAAACTTCAACTACTGATTGTATTAGATTTTTTCTATTACTATTATGTACTTGAATATAATATAAGTTTACCTGGAAATCATGATAACTATCTTCTACCCTCTTTTCATCCCTCAAAATTTTTGTAGACACAGCAAACTCCCTCTCACTAGCCAAAGGACTGAAGAACAATGTTCTAAATCCATCGCTCATTATTGGTGACAAGGTTATACCAAATATTCCTTCTTCTCCCCATTGGAAATTTAAACCAGCCACATTAAAATCTCCTTTAAGAGGATCGGGCATGAAGAAACTGTGCTCAAATCTCCAAGTTTTATCTTTTTCCCAAGAGTAAACTATCAAACCGTATCCTAACTCGTCGCTCATGTAAGCGAAAGTATCATCGCAAGATGAACCCATGTCAATTGCTATGTTGGCGATAAATGTGTCTGGATTGGTATCCTTAAGTAAAAAATATATACTATATTAGGGAGTACATACAATTTTGTTGATAAAATGATCAAGATCTTACCTCGGGTCTAAATGGAGTACGTCTTATGCGTCTATTTGTTCTTAAGTCGAAGACATTCAGGGCGTAAGGGCACACATTCACAGTGGTATTTCCTATGTTCAAAACAAATAGTTTTTTAAAATAATTGATGTATTTGAATATTGCTAAATTCTTAGAAAAAAAGTTGATCTCTTAAGATAGATTCTTCTAATCAGACTAATTTTGAACAACAACACATGACATAATTTACATACCGATTCCGACAGTACCAGTATCCAGGACCCATAATCTATTACATTCATCGACTTTAATCCTGTAAGCCGTAGTGATGCCCCTCAAGCAGTCTCCTTGTTTATTAGATGGCCAATCTGGATATGGTTCTAATGGAGGCGACTTGTCATTGGAATGCAGGGGAAATGCTGTTAAAGTGGCAGGGTATACCTGTGAAATTAAATCAGTTTCACAAAATATATTCTACTAGGTCAATGATAGAAAATAAACTATTGCAAATAAAATATAAATACAATGTCAAGTCCTAAAAAGCCTTAACCACTTTATCAACTGGTTTACGTGATGCTCATTAATCGTGAAGTAAAATATCAACAAACGGAGATGACGGAGGAAACTTCATAGATACGATAAATTTAATAGTTTGACAAAATTTTATTACGACCAGGATGGAATAATCATTTTCTAGCGATTAGATCTAAATTTTTACAGTTGTCATGGAAACTCATACAAGTGCATTCGTCGCAACGGCAATTGTTCAACAATATGTCTCCGAATTTGAAAAGAGGCTCAATAAGTGGAAGATTAAAATAAATAAAAGAAAATCTAGCCATATAACCTTCACAACAAGAACCCTGGACTGCCCAAGCGTAAAAATAAACAACATAGAAATACCAAAATATGAGAGCGTAAAATACAAAGCTATGAAAACAAACTCCTTTTATATAAAACAATAATTATCCCAATTTGGACATACGGCATTGAGCTATGGGCGTGCGCAAGCAATTCAAATTAAAAAAAAATACAAGTAGCGCAATCGAAAATTTTAAGATGCATGCCCTACATAAAGACCTAAAAATAAAAACTATTAATGAAATGATAAAAGAAAGGAGCAAAAAATACCACGAAAAACTACCAGGTCACCCAAACATATATTTAAAAGAATTAACGAAGAATATCCCACACGAATTTTGAGGAAAAAATGGACTTACAATCTTAAATAAAATGTCAAAAAAAAAGAGTTATCTCATAAGAGATAATCTCTTAAATGCATTAACATTACAGACATATTGTCTTAAAAATGTATATTATTTTGATTGACAATAAAACTATGCAAAAAAAAGATCCAAATTTTATTCAGATTGAGGATATTTTGAACTCTGCCTTGAAGATAGTCAGTCCTAATCATGTATCATAAAATATCAAATTTTTGCAAATTTGCGATCAGTTTTTGGTATTTCAAAAATCAACCAAAAGAACTAAATATTATCTGACATAAATTTACCAATAATTTACCATAGATTAGATCTGCAAATTTAGTAATGTTCCAGCAAAAAATCTTATAGGTAGGCGTAAAACATACTATATTATTGCAATTATTGGTATATTAAAACAAGTTGCAAAATAAATAATTTATTATATTGCAATTTCAGTGAATGTGTACCAGTCAACCACGTTTAACGATATTCAGCATAATTGAACAGTTTACGAGAAACGGCAATTTATCTATCGGGACATTTATGTAATAATTAAGTAAAATGTGTCTCGAACATGCTAGAAAAAGTAACACGGCTGCCGATTTTCCAATGTCAACCATTTGACATATTAGTTAATCGACGTAGAAAATGTTGAAAGTATTTCATCGTATTAGTGATATATAAATATCTGCATACTTGAAATCATTGCGAGTGATTTATAATTTATTAATGTTGTTTATAACTATTTATAAGCATTCAGTTTTATTTTTAATACGTCAGTCGTTATCGTGCCATTTTTAGATTTGAAATTTCTTATATTAAAATTATCAAGTATTTTACCATTTTACAATCCTGATTAGATGCGCCAAATTTGAAACTTGCATC